TAAAGTTTTGCTACATACTGCCATGTTGCCCTTCAGAAAAAAGATATTCTATTTTATATTTTAAGTGTATTCAAGATTATGTACTTTTTAATTTTAGTCTTTTTTAAGAAGCTGGTAGTATTCAATGTTTTCATCTTTATTTTGTAACTTTTACATATGTTACATGCCATAGAATAGGAAATATTTGGAAAACATAAATGAGAATTTCCTAGTTTAGGTAAATCTATGGTCTAAGTGAAAAGGAAGATACATTCTCTGAAAATGAATTTATATGTGCATTATCTCTAAACTGTTTTCTCTTGAATTTTTACCCATAACTTTCCCAAAGTGCATTGTATGTGAATTATGTTAGTATTTATATGAATATCAAAACCATGTAAAAGACATCTAGAATGGAAAACTATGTATATCCCTTAAAAGCATGAGGGAATATTGTCTCAAAAATCATTTTGTTTTTAAGATACCCTGAGGGAAAACATGAAGCATATATATTTCTTCTTTGATTCATATTATTAAGTCCTCTTCTCAGAGGAAACAGATTTGGGATTAAAGTCCATAGAAGAATATATAAAATGAGGTACTTTCTTCTTGTAACCATTAAATGTGTACTGGGAGGAACTTAGTGAGGATGGAAAAGCTAACATTCAGTAATTACATTGTTTCATGCAACCTCAGAGAAGTCTCTCTTTTTACATATTTTTAGTTGTAGATGTACACAATACCTTTATTTTATTTATTTATGTGGTGCTGAGGTTCAAACCCAATGCCTCACACCTGCTAGCCAAGCGCTCTACATGAACCACAGGCACAACCCCTCAGAGAAGTTTTTGAAGAAGTTTTCTTTTTCTTATATATGGCCTTTGACTATGCAGTGTTACAAAAGCGGGGTGACAAAGCTGTTATTTCTACTCTATATATTCTCAAGGTCTATATATTCTCTTATCTATTTTACCAGCTTTAATAAATTTGATTTACGGGTCTCTGAAAATGTAAACATCACAATTGATAGAGGCAGTCAGGACTGGTTCTCCATAAGCAATTGTTTTAAGAGAGCTATATTTACTTAAATGTAAAATTTCTCAACAAACTACTTATGATTATAAATTGCATATTGCTAACAGGAAATGTGACAGATCTTGAGAAAATATTGTCTATAACCTGAAGGCCAGTGTTATGTGCTTTAGGTATTTTGTACTCTGTAGAAAGTGTAACATTGATCTTCATTTTAACTGGTAACTCAACTTGTCCTGGAGTCTAATTAGTCTAATTAGATGAGAATTGTAAAAGATGGAGAAAAGAAATCTAGAAGAAGCAAATTTTTTAAAAATTCCATAGAGGTCTGGGGTTGTGGCTCAGTGGCAGAGCACTTGCCTTGCACCTGTAAGGCACTGGGTTCGATCCTCAGCACTACATAAAAATAAATAAACAAAGATATTGTGTCCATGTATAACTAAAAACAAATTTTTAAAATTTCATCAACAGTTTCCTGCTATTTCTTCAAGTTGCCCTGAGTACCTAGAGAGAGGAGCTTCCTCTTTTGTTTCTAACAACAGACTACTGACAATTAAAATCATGTTCCAGGTTTTGGTAAACTCGGGCCTCACCCTTTCAGATTCTGGTTTGACAACTACTGTTGGGGTGCAACAAAACAAAACACAACCTTAGCCAGGCTGATAGGGTGCTATGTGAAAAGAAATATAGAAGAAACCACCTCAGAGGAACTTAGTAAAGTTAACCCTGATTACAAACTTCTTATTGCCTAAAAAAATGCTTAAAATAATAATGCTATAAAAAATTTAAGTCAAAATAATGCATAAGTAATATGATTTTTTTGTATTATATGCTCACCCTAGGTTAGGCCTCTATAAGCACTAATCACATAGTTTAAGATGTTGTACATCCATATTTTGAATCTTGAGAATCACATTAAAGAAGTGTACTCAGGCTGGTCATGTACTCAGATTCAAATTGACACCCAGCAAGCTTTCTTTACTCAGCTTTTATTTTTTTATTTATTTATTTTTTTTTTGTGCACAACTATTCATGGTGGTTTTATTTGTAATAGTCAAAAAATCCCCAATGTTGGACTGTGGGAACATGTCTGTCTTACATGCCTCAGAACCCTTATACTCATATTAAACATATAGTAGGCATTTGATTACTAACTATTCCATGAATGTAGAGATTGATTTTTTTTTACTGTTAATAGAGCTTCTCTTTTATTAAATATAACAGACAAAAGAAAATCACGTATAGCACAATGAATTATCACAAAGTAAACATATCCACTAAACCCTAATCCAGGTCAAGAAATTGGACATCAAATGCACCTTCATGAGCCCTCTCTCATTGCTCCCCTAATTATTCCCTCCGCTCCCCCAGAGTTAGGCAGTATTTTAACTTCTAATAACAAGGATTAGTTTTGCCTGTTTTGTTACTTTATACAGTGTAATCATACACATATGTTCTTCAGTGTGTGGCTTTTTTAGCTCCATATGTATTTTTATAAGATTTATCCAAGTTGTTGAATGTGAATGTACTTCTTATTTTCATTGCTTAATAATTTTCCACTGTATAAATATAACCTGGTTTACTTAAAAAAAATCCCCAATGTATATCAATAGGAAAATAGATAATAAATTTTGGAAACATACTTAGCAAGAATAAAGAACTATTGATAATAGCAAAAACAGGGAGATTCTGAATGAAATAAACTAGACAAAAAGTAATATGCATTGAAAATTCTTTTTTTTTTTGTACTCCCTAGTACAAATATCCAGGGGTGCTCTACTGCTGAGCTACATCCCCAGCCCTTTTTATTTTATTTATTCATTTATTATTAATTTTTTTTGCTATCAGAGATGGAACTCTTGGGAACTCAACCACTGAGCCACATCCCCAGCCCTCTTTTGTATTTTATTTAGAGACAGGTCCCACTGTGTTACTCAGGGCCTCGTTAAATTACTAAGTATGGCTTTGAACTCCCAATTCTCCTGTTTCACCATTCTGAGCCGCTGGGATTACAGGTGTGTGCCACCATGCCCAGTTTAGTTTTTATTTTGAAACAGAGTCTGGCTCAGTTCCCCAAGTTTACCTCAAACTTGCGATCCTCCAGCCTCAGCCTCCTGAATATCTGGGATTACAGACTCTGCCACCACCTCCCAGCAGATTCAGTTATATTTAAAGGTAGAAAGTTATAAACCAGGTGAATCCTAGTAAAGGTCTTAATAAAAAAATAATAAAAATAAAAGCACTATGCTTGGTCACAATATGGTAAGTCAGAAAATGACAACAAATATCCATTTTCTGTCAGGTTGACCAGAACAGTATCATTTCTCAATGGATTTCAAAGGGTCTCCTTCCTTCTTTCCCTGCCCTCCCTCCCTACCTCCCTACCTCCCTCCCTTCCTCTCTGAGTTTTGGCGTGTGCGTGTGTGTGTGTGTGTGTGTGTGTACATCATCTTTTGTGCCAGTGTAAGAGGTTTAGGCAATGGATCAACCTTTACACCTGTGCCTAAGGACCCCAATCTTGGATCTATCTCCAAGGGTGGAGGTGATTCTAGCTCCTCATTATAATCTCGAGAGTGGGAACTCCTAAAAAATAAACAGGTCTTTCTTGGTAACACCAGTTTCCTCCTTGGTAAGAGTTAGTGTAATGGGAGGGTGGCACATCTCAGTTCAAACTGGGCACATTTAAAGACAGTCACAGCATAAGAAAGTAGGGATTGTAAATTAACACTAGGCCATACCATATACTTGCACTTATTTTAAAGAAAAGCCAAGTTTAAAAGTATGTGTTAGGTTTTAAAATATTTTTGGCCAACCTCTCTTGGTACTTATGCAGAAGTGAGAAAAGATGATTGAAGGTATCTCAACATCACTCTTTTTTTTTTTTTTTCACTGAGAGGTTAAGATTTCTGTTGCAATAGCTAGGGATTGCATTGTCATTTCAGATGAATCTCAAGTCTGCAGTTAGGAGAGGATTAAGGGTTATTTCAGCTAGCTCCTTCTGAATTCTTTTAGCACTAGTGGATAACTTAGCAGTGGTTTTGCTAGAGAGTTTGGTGCTCTTCTTCTGTTGGGTGGCAGAAGGTTCTTTCTTCATGATCTTCAGGCTCTGGAGTAGCAGGGTCTTCCTGGTCCGAATCTGAACTGCCACTGCTGGTGCTGGGGCTGTCATCATCGGACATTTGCTTATCACTGGCCATTTGATGAAGTTATCAGTTGGAAAACTCGCGGCAAGAATGAAGTGGCTGGGGATGTGGCTCAAGCGGTAGCGTGCTCGCCTGCCATGCATGCGACCCGGGTTCGATCCCAGCACCACATAAAAAGATGTTGTGTCCGCCGAAAAAACTGGAAGCAGCTGGGGATGTGGCTCAAGCGGTAGCCTACTCAGCTTTTATAATCCAAGGTCAACTGCCTATAATTTTATTCAGCCCTCTTAAATTGCATTCCTGATAAGTCTTCTTCACATACTATCAAATTGTTTCTATGGATAATCCTCTAATCCAGTCAGACCACTGGTCTGCTGATCATCAATTTAAATTCAGCATTTGTTTCTACTGGACAAATTTGATTTACGAGGTTGCTCAGACAATATTTTATAACTTTTAGTGATAATCTGTTAAGGACTGTAAATCAAATGTCAGGTTTAATCTAATTGTCCCTTAACTATGATTGCAACTCTGTGATCTCAATGTAGACCCTTGATTAGTCATACTTGATTAGTCCCCAGCTTCAGCATTATTATGAGAATTCGGGTCTATCCTAATGGCTCCTGATAGTAGGTCAGTGATTTTAAGTGGTGTCATACAGGGCTATGTTTTATACCATTCCCCTTGCCTTGTACTTGCCTATTTATAAATTCTTTTAGATAACCTAGAATCCCGCCCGCTGGTCCTCGCGCGCCCTCCTCGCGCGGGTCCCGATTCCACGTCTGGAGGAGAAAATGAAGCGGGGGAGGTGGATGGCAAGTTCTGAAACACTTCGGCGAAGCTTGAAGTGTACTTTATCTGATATGAGAATGGTAACCTCTACTTGTTTGCGAGATCCAGCCTCTTGGTGAATTTTTGGATGAAGCCATTAAATTAATTTCTTGCCATCATGAGCAGAAGCAAGCGGGACAACAATTTTTATAGTGTAGAAATTGGAGATTCTACGTTCACAGTCCTGAAACGGTATCAGAATTTAAAACCTATAGGCTCCGGAGCTCAAGGAATAGTTTGTGCAGCTTATGATGCCATTCTTGAAAGAAATGTTGCAATCAAGAAGGTAAGCCGGCCATTTCAGAAGCAAACTCATGCTAAGCGGGCCTACAGAGAGCTAGTTCTTATGAAATGTGTTAATCATAAAAATATAATTGGACTTTTGAATGTTTTCACACCACAGAAATCCCTAGAAGAATTTCAAGATGTTTACATAGTCATGGAGCTCATGGATGCAAATCTTTGCCAAGTGATTCAGATGGAACTAGATCGTGAAAGAATGTCCTACCTTCTCTATCAGATGCTGTGTGGAATCAAGCACCTTCATTCTGCTGGAATTATTCATCGGGATTTAAAGCCCAGTAATATAGTACTAAAATCAGATTGCACTTTGAAGATTCTTGACTTTGGACTGGCTAGAACTGCAGGAACAAGTTTTATGATGACACCTTACGTAGTGACTCGATACTACAGAGCACCTGAGGTCATCCTAGGCATGGGCTACAAGGAAAACGTTGACATTTGGTCAGTTGGGCATCATGGGAGAAATGATCAAAGGTGGTGTTTTGTTCCCAGGTACAGATCATATTGATCAGTGGAATAAAGTTATTGAACAGCTTGGAACACCGTGTCCTGAATTTATGAAGAAACTACAACCAACAGTAAGGACTTATGTTGAAAACAGACCTAAATATGCTGGATATAGCTTTGAGAAACTCTTCCCTGATGTACTTTTCCCAGCTGACTCAGAACACAACAAACTTAAAGCCAGTCAGGCAAGGGATTTGTTATCCAAAATGCTGGTCATAGATGCATCTAAAAGGATCTCTGTAGATGAAGCTCTTCAGCATCCATACATCAATGTCTGGTATGATCCTTCTGAAGCAGAAGCTCTACCACCAAAGATCCCTGATAAGCAGTTAGATGAAAGGGAACACACAATAGAAGAGTGGAAAGAATTGATATACAAAGAAGTGATGGACTTGGAGGAGAGAACCAAGAATGGAGTTATACGAGGGCAGCCCTCTCCTTTAGGTGCAGCAGTGATCAATGGCTCTCAGCATCCATCGTCATCGTCGTCTGTTAATGATGTGTCTTCAGTGTCAACAGATCCGACTTTGGCCTCAGATACAGACAGCAGTCTAGAAGCATCAGCTGGACCTCTGGGCTGCTGCAGATGACTACTTGGGCCTTGGGGGGGTGGGAGGGATGGGGAGTCCGTTAGTCATTGATAGAACTACTTTGAAAACAATTCAGTGGTCTTATTTTTGAGTGATTTTTCAAAAAATGTAGAATTCATTTTGTAGTAAAGTAGTTTATTTTTTTATTTTCAAGTGATGTAATTTAAAATCTAAGTTGTGTTTTAAAACAGCAACAACACTGTATTGTATTTTTTGCTGTAATTAACTGTATAATGTAAACCTAATTATTTTATCATGTTTTAAAATTTTTGCAAAAAAAAAAAAAGATAACCTAGAATCATATCCTCTCATTTTAACTCCTGTTGTAGAATAGAAAGATCAATGTATTTCTTTATTGAGTTGAACTGGCAACAATATTGATAGACAGTTCTATTATCAAATTATCATCAGAAATACTTAAAATCAATGACACTAAAACACCACTATTATTTGAAGCAAATGATCCTATATCCTATATCATAATTAAAGTTAGCTGTAAATGAAAGAAACCCACCATACCTGGCTGGAAATGTCTCTTAATGGCCTAGGCACTGAAAATAAAAGAACAGGTGCTGGGGATGTAGCTCAGTGGTACAGAGCTTGCCTAGCAAGTACAAGGCCCTTCACACAATCCTTAGCACAAAAAACAAAAACAAACAAAACAAGTCATTTGCTTTTATATCTTTAAAACTCCATGGCTACATAAATTGAAGTGGAAGTCCAAAGTTAATATGGTGATTGTTAGTCACCTTACCCCATTTAGTTACAAAGGAGGCTGGGAAAAGTACATTTATCTGAGAAGCTATGCACCCAGATGAAAATAGTGCAAGAATTATAGAACAAATATTATGGCAGCACTGTCAGTAAATCTCAGCCAGAAACTCCAAATCATTCATCAAAATTTACATATGCATATCCAAAAGTACTATACATCTGAAAATTAAAATGTGCATATCCAATAATTCTAAATATTTAATTTTTCAGACAACCCACCCTGTGAGTTCACCAGAAAGCTGTATTACTTAAACTATTTCACAGATGCCTTATTATAATTATATCTCTGCCTTATGATCAGTCACTAATGAACTCTGCTTTGAAATCATTGGAGATAAGAAATCACTGAGGGGTGCTTTATGGAATAGCCTATGTATTCATTTAAGGGTCCAGAATATTTTCTAAGGAACATCTTGGCTCATTTCCATGCCACAATGGGTTATTAAACAGGTTAGAGTTAATACCAAGATTGACTTCAGTAGCTTAGTGATTAATCACAAAAACCTATTTTTTTCTGGTACTGGGGATTGAACCCAGGAATGCTTTACCACTGAGCTACATCCCCCAGCCCTTTTTATTTAATTTTGAGACAGGGCTCACTAAATTGCCAAGGCTGGCCTCTAACTTGAGATCCTCTTGAGTCATGGGATTATACACATGTGCCACCATGCCTGGCTCCATACAAACCTATTTTAAATCAGAAATGTGGAAAATTCCTGTACACAGTGCATGAATCATGGTGCTTTCATATTCATATTCACTTCTCTCATCTCTTTTCTCTTTCTTTCTTTGTTTCTTTTTTTTTTTAAGAGACAGGGACTCACTGAGCTTAGTGCCTTGCTGTTACTGAGGCTGGCTTTGAACTCATGATCCTTCTGTTTCAGCCTCCCAAGCCACTGGGATTACAGGCATGTACCACTACACCTGTTCACTGCTCTATTTTAAGGGAAATTACCAACTCAGGGTCCCAGTGTGTGCTAATTAGTATTCTTGATTATAAGTAACAGAGTTGCAATTCAAACTAGCTCCATCAATAAAAGCTTTTTTCTATTGGCTCAAATGGTTAAGAAGCCCAGATTAACATTAAACAGGGATGAGAGGTGGGAGGGAAAGGGAGAGAGAAGGGAAAATGCATGGAAATGGAAGGAGACCCTCAGAGTTATACAAAAGTACATACAAGAGGAAGTGAGGGGAAGGGGAAAAATAATATAAGGGGGACAAACGAATGTCAGTAGAGGGAGCAGAGAGAGAAGAGGGGAGGGGAGGGGAGGGGAGGGGAGGGGAGGGGGGATAGTAGAGGATAGGAAAGGCAGCAGAATACAACAGACACTAGTATGGCAATATGTAAAAACGTGGATGTGTAACCGATGTGATTCTGCAATCTGTATATGGGGTAAAAATGGGAGCTCATAACCCACTTGAATCAAATTGTGAAATATGATATATCAAGAACTATGTAATGTTTTGAACAGCCAACAATAAAAAATTTAAAAAAAAAAAAAGAAGCCCAAACTGGGCCTAAAGGTGTACATCTGTAATCCCATCTACTCAGGAGGCTGAGGCAGGAGGATCACAAGTTCAAGCCCAGCCTCAGCAATTTGGTGAGGCCCTATGTAACTTAGTGAGACCCTGTCTCAAAATAAAAATAAAAAGAGCTGGACGGGTGTGGTGGTGAATGCCTGTAATCCCAGCTGCTTGAGAGGCTGAGGCAGGAGGATTGCAAGTTCAAAGCCAGCCTCAGCAATGGCAAGGCCCTAAGCAACTCAGTGAGGCCCTGTCTCTAAATAAAATATAAAATAGGGCTGGGGATGTGGCTCAATGGTTGAGTGTCCCTGAGTTCAATCACCAGTAACCCCCCCTCAAAAAAGGGCAGATGGGGATGTGGTTGAGTGCCCCTGGGTTCAATTCCCAGTACAAAACAAAACAAAACAAAATCCCCAAGAATGGCTAGTTTATGTGCTCATCCATTTATCTACTTGGCTGTTCAGTGCCTCTTCCATGGTATGTTTTCTCTGGTGGCATCAACCTGTGATACAAATATCTTCAATTTTTTGTGCACATTTCCATAGGTCCATCCCTGTGTCCTGTGCCTCTACCACAGATTGTATTGCCCTCAAATATTTCTCTTTTTCTTTCTAGCATCCTATCTAGATGGTCAGGCTATTCCCCACTGCCCAGGACTCCATAAATATTTCTACATTGTGGCTCTTTTCCTTTACACAAAATGCAGGGCAGTTCTATTTGGAGTCTGCCATTTGTGCAGATTTTCTTTCACCACTATCTTTAAATGCTTCCCCAAGCATGGCCATAGAGGAACCATTGTCCATTGTCAGTTTGCATCTATATATTGAGCTGGACCATATATAAAGCACACTAAGACATTTTTCTCCTCCTTCAGGTGGTCAGTTGTACAAGATCCACATAGGGCTACTGGTGTGAGCTGAGGAAGGGATGCTAGTATAATTATGGTGGCTGACATGAGGTATGACTTACCATGTGGCTTACTCATACCTTTGGGCCTGCTTAGGATTCTGGATGTGTGGTTTTCATCTTAAAATGGATTGCTGCTTGGCCCACCCAATATTATGACTTTGTATGTCTGAGAGGACCCAGCCTAGCTCCTATAAGCAATTCTTGACACAAAAATAGTTACTTACTGTCCCCTGATCAACTGTTGCTTCTCTACCAATGTCTAGGAGCCTACTCCAGAAAGATAGACTTGTTGTAATTCTCCCACTGGGACTTGACATAAAATCTCACACTACATCTTTTTCTACCAGACACCCCCATCAAGTCTGCTGAATCAGCAAGTCTTATTGTAGCTTGGACTCATGCCATGGAGCCCTTTCCTACCCTAGGCCCATTAAGTTGGCAGCCTTTTGTGACACTTAGTACATATGCCCAGGATGGTATTCCTAAATTCAGAAGGTATTCCCTCTAAGACCTAAAGAGATCACCAGGTAATAAGGTTTCCCTTCTTTGTAGGAGGGATATAAGATTCAACAACTAGTTTTTACTTTACAGAGGATGTCTTAGCATGTCCTAACCATGGTCCCTTAAAAATTTACTGAAGTTGGCAGGCATGGTAGCACACGCCTGTAATTCTAACTACTTGGGAAGCTGAGGCAGGGTAATCACAAGTTTAAGGCCAGCCCAGGCAATTTAGCAAGACCATGTCTCAAAGTAAAAACAGGGCTATGGATGTAACTCACTAGTACAGTACTTACATAGCATGTGTGAGACTCTGGAATCAACACTCAGTACTTCAAAAAAAGAAAAAGAAGAAAAAAATTAATTGAAGTATAAGATTCCTTCTGATCACCTCTTCCTCATTGTTTCCAATTAGCATAATGTCATCAATGTAATGGATTAATGTATTATTCAGTGGAACTTCCCAGATCTCTTTAAACTATGTTATGACATAAAACAGGCAGATTAAGTTAGCCTGTGTCAAAACAGTGACTGTATATTTTTGTCCTACGTAGTTGGGAACTGTTTCAGATTCTCTTTCCTGACTGGACTAGAAAAGAACACATTTGTCAAATTGATAGCTGTATATCGTGTCTTGAGACCATGTTAGTCTCTTGGAACATAGATACCATGTCTAGAATGGTGGCTGTGAATGGCCTCATCACTTCCAGTAATCCATGGTAATTCCTCAGAATCCATCCAATTTCTACAGGGGCCGGATTAGCAAGTTCAGGGATTCATGAGATTCCTTTTAGATTATTAAGGGTAGCATTCATCCCTGCCATCTTTTTGGGGTACAATATTATTTGGGGGTTACTCCCTTGGGGGCTGGGAGAGAGGGGTGTGTTTCATCGGCTTTGTTTTTCCCACTATGATAGCTCTTGGCCCTACACAGGCCAATCACCCAATGTAGAGGTCGAATCAATTGCCATGTGTATCAGTTGCAATTGTGCATACATTCAGGGAATAGGAAAATGATCAGCAGGTGGCTCCATAAAACCAGTAGAAACACTGTAAGCTAGACTTTGGCCCCCACATGCCTCTACTCTAATGGGTGGCTGTGATGACGTTCGTGGTCTCTTAAGCTCAATGTCAACTCAGACTCTTTCCAATACTACCTAAATTCCCTATCCCCAATGGAAGAGTCACCTGACTTGACAGTCAGTTCCTTTGGGAAAGAATTGAGAAAATTGTTGTGCTCTACACTCACCATAGTATTACAAGGTCCTTTCTCTGGAGACTCAGAGCCCTGGATCCCTGGACATCT